TTATGCAGGCATGGATTTACAGCTCTCTGCAAAGGATTGCATCAGACTCGTGGCATGGAGGGAGGGAGGGGAACGAGTGCACAGGGGTGAGGAAAAAACATTGAGATACTAAAAAATAAAAGGGCGGTCATTACAAAGAGTTCAATGGAAAAGGGAGCAGAGTGAAGGAAAATTTCAGGAAAACCGAGTCGTCAAAGTTCTTTTTACATCGAGCACTGGTAAAATAACAATTCTCTATTTTAGTTCCTTTAAAGAAATTGTTTTCTGCTATGCTCGTGACTTTTTCTTCGCTGATCTCTGGGTCTTGCTTTTGCTTAATTTTTGTGTTCTCGTGCAGATGCCTTTGTGTGTCTGAGTGCAGGCTGGGAGATTAGTTCATTGTAGCTGACACTGTCTCTACTGTACCATGACATCATAGTCTCATGACTGGGGCAGGGCAGGAGGAGGGGTTCAAAGAGTTGACACATAATAGAAAACCTACCCTCAGGATAAACATGGATGAGAAGAGAGCAGAAAACATTAGTTTGAGTAAAATGAGTGTGCATGCATCTGCTCTGAATGTGACTAAAAATATCTCGGCTACTGTAACATCATCAGAACTTGAGTTTTWTATCTGCTGATTACATTTTCTGATATCAGATGAGAAGTGTCCGAAACAGTAACTGGAAAATCTCTCAATAGGACCGCATGTTACGCAAGAGCTGTTGATTTTAGCAAATGCCACATATTTTGAAGTAATCACCTTTTACAGCATCTGTTTTGACTACTGCTGTAAATATGTGCATGTAAATACAGTATATTAGTTGGTTAATGTTCAGTTCCCAGCAAGGCGGCTGCTTTGCACAGATTCATAAAATGCTTTTGTGCTTGTTAATCCACTGCAGTTCCCCTTTTGATAAAGGGAACAAAGTGCATTAGGCCTGGCTTTAAAGTATTTTGTAATTAGGGCTGGAGTTCATCTAATCCGCAGCCACATTTATTGCTGGTTACTTAGAAAAAGTAGGCTAAGTGGTTAAGCTATGTTGCTTGAAAAATGTCTTAGTTGTCTGTCAATTCATGCAGGCTTAATAATAACTGTTTTGAATTTTATAGAAAGTTAAATTGCACACCTCTAAGGCCCTCTGTGGGGTTTTCACATGCCTTTCCACAGTTCAATTACCTGCTTGGTGATTCATTTTTAAAAGTATTTCTTTCCTCTCATTGTTTATACATTTTTGGTAATTCAACAACTTCAATTTAAGCCATTCTTATATATCAATGTGTTCAGCTCATTCAGGGGATGATTGCTAGGGTTATTTTTTTAAATATTTCCTCTTAGAAATACACTGAAATATTTTAGTGTCTTCAAGAACATTGTTTTCTTTGAAATCTGCTTCAGAATACTTGATCTGTTTCTGTCTTTTTGTGATACATTTTGTTTTAGCTACTTTTCTGCTACTTATAACTTTTAGCCWGTCTGTTAATTTTAGTTGGCTTATTACTACTTTAAGCTTTGGTTAGTCTTGTTACTTTTTAGTTTTCATTTAGCCTTTTGCTCCTTTTAGCTGGCAGATAATGTGCACCTTTTAGCTCCTAGCTATGTTTTTGCTTCTTTTAGCATTTAGCGTGTGTTCTGCTTATTTTAGCTTTAACAACTCTTCAGCAAATTTCACCTGTTCAGCAAAAATTCAGTTTCTCTAGTTATTAGTTATAATCTTAAAAGAAACGATTGCATGCCAAGTTTGCCATTTCCTGTCCTTAATTCTGGGTAGAAATAAAAATATGATTCTGGATAGACAAGTCACTTTAACTCTATCCGAACACAAGAAACAGACAAGTTGAAAGAACATATAAGTATTTACATCTGCTGGTGGCAGATATGCTCAGTCCTGTGATTGTTTCCAGCAGCTGCAGACCACAGAATGGAGCAGGCGTCAGCTTGGCCATGTTTCCTTGTGCTTGTCTTTTACTGTGGCAAAGTGATCTAGGCAAAACTTCATGGAAAAGTAGCTTTGAAAAAAATACTCATAGCGGTTAGAGACGTTTGGACAGTGAATGACACCGAACTTAATGTGCCTGCAGGATCCACACATGGTTCAAGTGTTTTTCTCTTCAGTTGCCCTGTATTTGCCTTCAGTCCTTTTACACATTCTGTCAACAGAACAGTAAACACTTAAATTAATTTTACTTATTCTGGAGAAGATGTTTAATTTTAAATTGTCTTTAGTGTTTTTGTTCTTCAAGTCTGTTTATATATATTTTTATGTATTTTTTCCAGGATAAAGTGTTGTCAAATAAGACTCCCAAATTGGATCGCAGCGATGGGGTCAAAGAGATGAAAGAAAAGGCTCCTAAAAGGAAACTGCCCTTCACCGCTGGAGCAAATGGAGACCAGAAAGATTCTGACTCAGGTAGGAGATTATTGTAATGTCTCAGAGCATCTGATCTCCACACTCATGTTGGCTTTCAAGTGCAAATCAGAGAGGAAAGTGTGTTTCGGGTGGCTTGTTGCATAACAATTTCTTGATGGAAAGAAGTTGTGAAAGAAAGTTGGTCCTTGGAAAGAAAAAGTGCACCTAGCTCCTTCATTTTCAGTGCGGTTGAGTATCTGTCAGAACCAAGGAGTGTACTAATACTATTCAATCGACGTCTCCAAGAGGATCACAAAAAAATGACAAACCAGCTACTTGTGAAACCTTAGCACACAGACCTGACCAGGTCTTYGTTTGGTAAGGCTCTTGATTTGTGTTTTCTTTAATTAGGGACATAAGGACTGCTGCTCGTGCTTGTTTGACTTTGGGTTTAAAGGACTCAGGATTTAGTTTGTTTTGTTAATGCCGATCCAAATCAGCAGTTTTACTAAGAGTCTTCATCTGTGGCACCGTCTGAGTTGCTGCATTGCTTCATTCTCTGTGATTACACTGAGCTTTGCACTTGAAATAGGAGAGCTATAATGCAACAAATGACTGGAATGGCATGAGGTAATATTTAGAATCGCTGGTCCTGTCTTTAAAAAAACATGTTGGGTTCTATGTGAGCATGGCATACCTCAGATTTTATTCTTAAATGTTTGATAAAGAAGTTTGTCTTTTGATTGATACTGTTAGATTTATAGGATGTTTGTGTTCATGACATTTTATCCACACTTCTATAAAAGCTGTGCGGTAAAAATATTGATCAGTCTTCTTCTGGAGAATTAGTAGTCACCAGAGGTCTACAAAGTACTTGAAAAAACAGCTAAGTAAAAGTAAAAGTTAACAGAAAATGACTTTGGTAAAAATAAATGTCACTGATGAGAAAACTACTGAAGTAAAAGTCATAAAACTGTTCACAAAAATTGTGAAAGTAGAAGTAAAAGTACTTTTCCATGCTCTCCAACAAACATTGTTTAAATTTACAGAACCAAATCGGCTCCACCAAACCAAGTTTATTAAATTGGTCAGTTTCTCTAGTCACAAGTAACTAGGTGTTAAACTTTAAAGAAGTAAAAGTATAATTTTTTAGGTTTTAAAAGTAACTAAGTAAAATTAAAAGTCACGATTTAAAAAAATACTTGGTAAAATTACAAATCCTCAAAAAAATTACTTAAGTACTGTAACAAAGTAAATGTACTTAGTTACTATAAACCTCTGGTAGTCACTCCTATGAAATCATTGTCATTTCTTTAGCTAGTTTAACATAATTTACCTGCTAGGTGTCTTGGGAAGCTAGTCTGAAACCAGAAAACCGTCAGCCTCACCCTCTCAGTATCGGCAGGTGTGAACTCTCTGCTTGGGAACAATAGCTGCACAGGCTCTTGATATGTATTAGTTTGATGGTTTTCAGATATGGGGGCCTAACAGGCATCTCTGCAGCATGAGGTTGGATCTCATTGGGCTGTAACTGTTGGGAGACTAGTTGGCATCTCAAAATTGGAAGATAATTGTGAAAAAATAGGCAGACTTTCAGTTACAGTCTCACTTAGATCTGAGTGTTTGCAACCAGGTTATCAGTAAACATCACGGCCTTATTTTGCACAGCCAAATCATTGCTTATTTTTGTGTGCATTGTTCTTAAAACACCTGGGCAGGTTTTCTGTCAAAGGAAAACTCCCGATCAATTGTCAAAATACAGCTCTTGCACTCTGACCTATTGACCTATTGATTTACACATGTTCCTTTCAAGTTCCCATAAACTCAAGTCTCAAAGTTCAGGTTGTGTTATAAAACAGCGGGCCGTTCTGTGTCAGCAGTGTTTTAAATTTATTTAATTAGTTTAATCTAGGTCACAGAAGTGCATCTTCAAAGTGTGCTAGTGTGAACTTTCTATTTACATAATAGATTAAAAAAACAACAAGACGTATTTAATTATTTAGTTATTTTTAAATATGCTTGTTTGTCTTGTTGGTCACTCTTTCAGTAAAGCGGTAATTTAACCACAGAGTCACTGGGTCGTTTCACTTTCAGAATGATGTCAGTTTTGTCTGCATAAACCTTTATTAGGTGACAGACAGAAAATACGTCTGCGATGGCATTRACATGTGAAAAAAGGCAACACATTTTGAAACTTCGGGTCACATAAGGTATGTCGCAGTTTACCAGAATAAGGCTTTCCAGTGGTTGTGACCTTATTAAACATAAAAACAAAATTGGCTTTTGGAACATTTACCATGGAGTTAAACCAATGAATGCTCACCACCTGAAAGGCTCTTCTAAACCCTTTGTTGCAGTTTGCTGTCCTGTTTGTACACAGTTGGGTTGGGRAGAAATTTGATCATTCCGTATTCCAGGTCTCCAAAAATACATCCCTTTGAATATAACACTGCTACAAAGTAGATGCCAGCTATGCCTGGGCAAGTTGAAACTTTGTAGTTTGTGTATGAACTTTTTTTCTGCACAAAACCTATTACAAGAACAGGAGCAGAATTGCCTACGGTTTGGTCATTCCTAAAGAAATGTATCTGGGTAATAAATAAATTTAGATGATATGACTTTGCGTTACAGTTTCACAACATTTAGGGAGGAAAATGTGTGTTTAAAACACAATCTAATATTATTTCAAACTACTAATATCACTGTTGATTCTGGTTCTTTACCTCTTCCACAGCAGTTCACATAAATTTCCAGTGCAAACCTCTTTTTTTTCCCCTGACTGATTGTAACACAGATGTGTCTCTTTGTTCCAGACTCCTAGTTGGTCCAAAATAAATATTGGTCCAAAATAAATAAAACCCAATTGATTTCATCATCGAGCGCAGCTGATTGAAATAATAAACTTGATGAGTTAGAAAAGCATCTTGCATGTCACTACACGTCTGTGTAGGGTTTTCTCTTGCATTGAGAAAACATCCTGTTGGCCATTTCCTGCCCCTTCTCTTTTAACTTCCTGTTTATGCAACTCCCCAAACACAACATGTTTCCCTCACATTCAACGATCTAACGTACCTGATCAGGCTGGTTAGAGTGGTTTTACTTGTTCTTGTATCTGTTGGCTAACTGAATTAGACAATCTTTTTTTTTTTTTTTTTGGCATTTACTTACCCTGTAGTATTGTTTGTCTGCCAGTTGAAAACGTTTGTCTTTTTTTATAACCTGACATTTGTGTTTGATGTGTTTCCCTTCCCTTGGCTCAGGTAGGCGGTCTATTCATGGGGTGTCGGTCCCTACCTAGCTTGCTTTTCTCATCTACTCTCCCTTTCTCTTATCTTGTTATTCAAGTTTCAGGGAACAAGGAGAGTAAGGTTTCAACCCTGTCTTAAAGCTGTGTAATATCATTTTACCCAGACACATAAAAGCAGTGTTCCCTAGATATTCAACAGAAAGGTAATGGAACCATGGGTACTGTAATGTGATGTATTAGAGGTAATTTTCGCCCGCTACAGAAAGTCGAAGGCGGACAATCACGTTGTGTATGTGTGTTTGCACGCTGGTGTATCTGCTATCAAAATATCTCCTGAACCACTCAGTGAATTTTAATGAAACTTGCAGAAAAGTAATCATTGTATATACTATGGTACCGTTAACGTGCCAGGAGATAAGACTAGTCAAAAATGGGTAAGATCATAACATAAATAAACAAGGCCAAAACCAATGACACTGTAAATTATAKTGTTTGAAATAAACTCTTAGCAAACAAACATTTCTTAAAGTATATCAATCAAAACAATTTCTTAAATGGCCATTTTTTAAATAAGGCACATTAATTATAAAAAGACCTTTAACACTGATCTCAGATTCAAATAAAGAGAAAAAGTCATTCCACAAGTTCAAAACAGATAATGCACTAACACAAGTTAGATTCAAATTACATTTGTTTTTATTATTATTAATAGGATTTAAAACATTTTTCTACCTGAAACTGTGCTTCTGAGATAATAGTGCAGAAATGATAACCTGTCAATCAAAGTGTGAATGCATTACGACCGAATCATACTTAGCTGTAAGACACACGGAGGTAGCGTGGTAGCATGGTAAACCATGGTTAACAAGAAAATAAAAGCTTCGGTCTTTAGCGAGGGTGAACAGCTGCTTGTCAAGCCATCATTTCCATCGTTAAATTGCTTGAGATCTGTGTACTCTCTGGCAATTTTATTGGATTTGTCAAAAGCCTCAGCAATGATTTAAGTCCCGACGAGTTCTTGAACGCTTGCTTGTTGTTGTTAGCATTTTAGCAGATGGACTTTGTGCTGCATTCAGGAGGTAACGGACATTACATGTTCTCAAATTGGGAGTAGTTGTTCTGATTTTTTTCAGCACGGAGTATTCTAATTATTTTTCTAGTGAGAAAGTTGTTTATTTCGACGCAACTTGAACATTGCTCGGGTCATGCCGGACGGGAAGCGGCTTGACCAAAAAGGAAAAAAATAAACATGCGTTCTCACCACCGCGCTGCCGCTGGCAAACATGTACATATATTATTGGTTCTGTTTGTTATGATATCGGACCGATAAAAGTTTGATGTCCTAATTCCCTGATATCGGGCCGATAACTATCATGTCCCCTAGTATATAAATCTACAACTGATTGCCTTTTAGTCAACCCCATTCAAGATGGCTTCCACAACTAATTAACATTAGCCAACACAAATACAGCTATATACATTTTACAGATATTGTTCTAAAATTTACTAACGACAATTCTAAGATTTATTAATCTGTCTTATTTGCCTACAGTGTTTATTGCTGTATAACTGCATCTTGTTAAGTTAGTTTGAGACTAATCTGGTCAAGATAACAAATTTTGCTGGAAGTTAAATTGTCTCTGAAATTATTGCGATAAATGATAATATCGTTTGACCAATTAAAACTAATATAATGTTTTCCACCTCTGACCCCACTTACGGATATTTATGAAAGGCTTCAACTTTTATTTTGTTTAGCTGCATTTCTCTGCAGGGCTGCATCAGACATGCCTTGTAAACATAGCATGGAAAAGCTAGCTTAGCAGTTTCTCTTTTCTGCTGCAGAGAAAAAACATGTTGGACTACTTTTGTGGTCCCTSCTGTTTTTACAGAAGGAATGTTTCTAAACGGTGAATGCTTTGGAGAACGTGAGAGTGTATCAAAGAGTGCTGAAGGGCACATTAGCTGTAAGTGTTCGCAGATGTTTGGTGAAAGTTTATCTTCTCCGTACATGTGACTGGAAAAATAGTTTCCTGGAAATTCCTTAGGCACCGGAAGCGTGATTTTTCGGTGTTCACCTCTTGCCGTGTTGTGTGTTTGTGGCCTCGAGTTTTGCATCCAGTCTTYGAGAGAGACAAGTCCCCACAGAAATCAGGGTTGTGTACATCCACTGCTGCAGTCTGCACACACARATTCAAATATTCTGTTTAAACGTCTTTCTTTGTGTTGCTGAAGGCCTTCATGGTGTAAGAGCTCGCCGCTGGCAGTTGTTTCTCCCTGCATGATGAAGTCTTACACTTATGTAGTTGTACTCTGCTCATGGGTCATCAGATGGTATGTTGCCACTGAAAATAATTGCTGGGTGTGTCTTTGTGGAGCAGCTGCTTTTGTCCAGTAGCACCATGTCTCCACTAATCCTGGCAGGCAGTGGTGACCTTGGCAAGGCCACGTTGAATTGAAATATACACCAGCTATTTCGTAATAACGTTTCTGCCAGGTCACACCCTCTTTTTCCTCTCTTCACGATTTTGGCTGATTGGCCTGGAGACAGACAGACATAAACACTGCCTGTTGGCCCTTCTGTTGCTCAGGGGCTGCTGGGTAATGACACCAAAGTGACCCACACTGCTGCCTACAAACCTCTCACACACTAAACTGCACCTACAGTATGTGCGTGAGTGTGCTTTTTTTCCACAAGTCTAATTGAAAAGAATGTAAAGTGTATACATTAGGAAGCTATGAGTAAAATGTGAAGTATTTTAAAAACATGATTAATCACAGCACTATTTAATAATTAGTGGATTGCAGTGTAAGCTTTTAACATTTGTTTAGTTTTTTCTTAATCCTGTGACCTCTTATGTTGAATTTTAACACCTTTAAATACAGATAAAAATGGTGTTCACGTTTTTGTTGTTTCGGTGTGTGAATAGAAATGTGATCTGATTAAAAGTAGCTGATAAAGGCTTGGCATTCCTTGAAGGAATCCACATCACCCACCATGCCAGAGTTTTAGACTGAGGAYTACTTTCAGTTTTAGTTTTTGAAAAGAATGTTTAACAAAGAAATTTAGTTTACATGTGCTGCACTGGTGATTACTCAAAGGGGYCATATCATGGAAAATCCCCTTTTATTAGCCATTAAATGCATTTTGTTGTGTACTTGGAGTCTCTAGGAGTGCAGAGTCTAATTATCTTTATATTCTGTTTGGGTCATATTTTTCAACCCGTTCAGTTGTCTCCTTTTTTAAGACGTTTTTTGAAGTATTACATCAAATTATTTACAACACAGCTTCTAAATAAGGTCTGGACTTACCAACTACAATTTGGTGGTCTTTATTCTCCTCTGGGTCAGACTCTGGCTCCAACATGTAAAGGCTTTGTTTGAATTTAAAGAGACAGCCTCAAAAAGAGTTGATCTGAGACACACCTCAGAGAAGGGGGCAGGGCTTGTGGGGTTACAATAAAGAGGATTTTAGACTAAAGCTTTGCAGTTCCACTTTATAGACCCCAACCGAAGGATTTAAATGTGACAAAACAAAAACAAGCCATTTTTCTTTTAGTAGTTGCCGCATTATTTTAATACATTGACAAATCTGCTAAGTTAGAAACTYGAGAGCAAACCTGCAGCTCACCAGCTTTGCTCTCAGAATTGGAGAGAAACTGGAAGTAAGCGGACGGACYGCTAAAAGCATTCGGTGTGTTTGTATGACATTGGAAAGAATCAAATTAATGCAACGGTCTGACATTAACTGTGCTTTTAAAACGCTCGTAAACATTTTAGCCCCAGTGAAATTGGGCTAAATTGAATTTCCTGAAGTCCATCTAACACACCTGAATAATGCAGGGAGTCAAATTATTTTCTGCTTTTATTCATTCTCAAACTTACTTGGACGCTATGAGCACGCTCCTTGTAGACTGTTAGAGGCTTCGACCCAGTATTTTCAACTAAAATTCCAGAAGCAAACATTACCTGCATGAGTTTAAGACCTACAAAGCTGCCTTAGTCTCATCCATTTCTTTCATTTTGCTGCCTCCATTTTCAAAATGTATTTGGAATCACTTTTTTATTTGTTTGTTTTCTTGCTTTTCAAATAACATTGTTGGGTTTCTGGAACAATCCATTTAATTTATCAAAGATAAAGCTACACATGGGTGGGAAACAGGGATTTTCTGCATTTTAAATGGATCAAATAGAAAGCTTGAACTATTATTTTGGTGCAGACTTTACTGCATTTACTGGAAAAAAACAAAAAATGTTAATTTTAGGTTGTCTTTTGTTTGTGTCAGAGCTGCAGAGGCTGTAACTGCAGCTCTCTTCAGACGCAATAACAAACGTTCAACAGAGATTTGTTGTGTTTTTTTTTTCTTCTGGCTGAGGCAAAGTAAAAATAATCTATTTGATGCACATAATCATATCAGGAAAAAAATGTGCATTTGGAAAGTTTGAGCAGCACTTATTTATTTCATGATGTAATCTGTGGAATTTTTTTTTTTTTTAGAACCACATATCAGATGAAGCAAAACTGGCTTTCCTTTATATGTTTTAAGTGTTTTATTTGTTGCTATTAGGTTTGGCCAAAGAAGATAATTCAGTTTGTTTCACACACAACCTTTGTTGGGGTATTTCCTGGGTGCCATACTTTTATAAAACCCTCATGGACAGTTTCAGAGATAATAATACACACTTATATTTAAGGTKTTTTGTTGTTGCAGCTCTAATATTTACATATTTTATCCTCTCCACAAGGTTCAGTATGTTACATTAAATATGCGTATATACATTTACATGTGCTGCCCCATAACTTGAACTAATTTGCTTCTCTGTTCTCAATCTTGTCACAGAGAAACCAGGTCCAGAGAGGAAGCGCATTAAAAAGGAGCCCACTAACACCCGGAAGCCGTTCGGGATGGGGATGCCAGGGATCCGGACCGGGTACCCCGTCTCCGAGCGGCAGCAGGTGGCCTTGCTCATGCAAATGACAGCTGCGAAGTCCGTCAACAGTCCAGGTGCGTGCTTATCATTTAGGCCACGTCGTCTTCTGACCGGTAGTGGGAGAAGAAAAAAAGGAGACGGGGATGGAGCTTTATATGTAGACACTGTTTGTGGGAGAACAGTGTGAGTAGGTGGATTATAAGTGAGCCAGATGGGGATGAGTCACAGCTTGTTTTGTTTTTGTTTACTTTGTCGATCTTGAACGTTTTGRTTGACACTTCTTCAGCCTGGAAAAATCCATTCTGTGTATCGAGTAGTAAATAATACAACAATGATTGAAACCTATGTTGGCAGGGACAGGTTTAGTTTTGACCCACAGCAGCTTTAAAATGTTACTGCATGTAATGTTTTTAAATGAAGCGTGTACGGAAATGAAACTGACTTGGTGTTGCGTTACTCTGGAATGATGGTGCAATCTCAGATTTTGAACCAAATCTCAGCAGACAGTAAAATGCAAAAAACATGCAAGCAGTTGCATGTTGTTTACTTGCTACCCAGTGTCCTTTTAGATCTGAGATAATTATTTTCGCTCAGAGTTTTGGTAAATAATATGTCTGGAAATGTATTAAATGTTTGTATTAGCATTATTGTCGCAACTTTTGGTTTGTGGTGTTGACATTTTAGATGGAATGAGATGAGTGTGGCTGGGTGCAAGGACACTTTTYTTTATATGTTAATTCCTCAGTGTATGCCTGGAGCAATGGACTTGGATTAAGTGAATGTGTTTCAAATATCATTTGGGACAATGGCTGAATAAACTCAATAATGTAAATGTGATAAAGGGTTGAGTTTAATCTTGCAAATGTGAAGGAAAAAGGCTGGAGTAAAGTAGGTCCAGTCACTCCACTGCTGAATGGTGGTGTGTGACTGCCCCCTTGTGGCTTTAGCCWGCTTAAACACACATTGTTTTACAGCAGAGGGAGGAAAAAAAGGAAGAAATAATGACAAACATTCATGAAAAATCTCCCACAAGAGACTGTTCTGGTGTTGAGTGAATCTTGTGTTATCTTCRTGCAGACACAACACCAAAGCATCAGTCACAATCTTGTCTGGGTCAGAAGGGAACGCCAAACTCTGCATCTAAAACCAAAGACAAAGTAAATAAAAGAAATGAAAGAGGGGAGACTCGACTGCACAGAGCAGCAATTCGTGGAGAGGTGCGCCGCATCAAGGAGCTCATCAATGAGGGAGCCGATGTGAATGTAAAAGACTTTGCAGGTGAGCTTGTTTTCTTTTTTTCACTGTCCTATACTTAATAAATGCAGTAGCCTGCATTCATACATATAAAGTCCACTCTTCAGAGATGGCAATCATTTTTGTTTGTCTCTAGGCTGGACTGCATTGCATGAGGCATGCAACAGGGGATATTACGATGTGGCCAAGCAGCTGCTGGCAGCCGGAGCTGAAGTCAACACCAAGGGTCTGGACGATGACACTCCTCTTCACGATGCATCCAACAACGGACATTTCAAGGTAAAACCTGAGGCAAAGCCAGTTTGCAGCTAAATTCAYTCAATGCTGTTTAAAAAGAGTAGAAAGCACATTTAATTTTAAAAGTTGCAGCATTTATTAAAGACATTTTAGCCATACATATATCCCAGATCCAGACGAAGAAAAGAGATAGAGGAAATGTACAATACCAACATAAACAATAAACTAGTTACCACACATTAGTTAAATGACCCAAATGATGTAGGCCGAAGAAGTCACCTATCTAAACTCTTTTTATACACATCTCTGTTTTCTAGGAAGTAAATTWTGAGCACATAAAACTAATGAGCAAAATCTTAAAACATAATATTTATACCTCAGCCTTAAGAATGTGTTTGCATAGCGAAAACCCAATTTTGTGTTTAATTACCATAATTTTTGTGTTAGGCTCATTCATTACTCATACACATAATAAAGAATTTTACCCCTAACCCCAAAATATGAGAGAAAATGTTAAAGGGATCCACGATTGGTTGTAACATTAGACTTTATTTGATAAACATATATTTTAACTGTAAAAAAAGACTGTAAAAATGTGTCCTGATGCATCTCAGTAATCCAGGTAAAAATTCAAAAAGAAAAAAAATTGTATGGGTCTTCTGGACAGGTTCTTCTCTAATGAAAAACTGTAAAAATATGTTTAGTTTTGTAAATTTTTAAAATATATTTCAACAC